TCGCGATGGGCGGAGAAATCCTGCAGCGGGGCAGGATTGCGCGCCAAGACACATTCAAGCGCACGCTTGGTGAATATGCTATCCCGAGAGCTGGAACTGGAGCCAAGAGTTCTACTCCATGATTCTCGGCCAAACCCTGTGAGCTCGACGAGATTGGAGGCTGACCTGCGGGCTATGGTGCCGTCGGCAATGGGATTGGTATTTGGTTCCCACCGTGCGATCGAATCGAAGGCCCCTTGTCGGATAGCGTGATAGCGTATCACCTCCCGGCACGGCAGGAGAACAGCAAAAACCTCCATCACCCAGATAGAGAGGCAGATCCTGCAGGTGTCAGCTCCGTTTTCTCGTTTCTTTCTTGTTCATTTCTATTTTCCTGTTGGTGGCAGCTCGGAGCACCTACCACTGGGGCGGTAGCCAGTACTGATTGACCGGCTCCATGGCGGGAACATAAAGGGCGATGAGCCACATCGGCGTCGCCGGGAGACTAGATGACGGATCAGTCGTGCGACAGACCTCATCGGACCGATTAACTCACTTGGCGATGATGCAGCCCATCGTCTGGACTCGCCAGCCGTGGGTGTCATGAATGTGACGGGATTTCCAGAGAACGACAGGGCCCACAATCCACGACCAGAAGAACTGTCCCAACACGCCAGGCCACCTGCATATCGGTTAGCGCGCAGCTCTCGCTGTACATGTGCCGGGCGTATGTCGGAGGCCTTCTTACCACTCCCAGCCCCGGCCCATTGCCGACTTTTGCTGCATCTCGGTTCCATGGACCTCGGTGCCTGGAATCCCCCAAGTACGATGCCATTTGCGAGAGATGAGCCACATAAAAACCGTGAGAAACACCTAATGACCCAATTAGACACCGATACAATTTAGAATAGGAGTAAGCAGTGGCCGTTTTACCTGAACGAGCGACGCCACCGTAACAAGCACGAGGATCTTGGTAGTGTATGCAAGGCGACGGAACCGGTCTACGGCACCGAGCTTGCCCCTCGAGGTGGAGGATAAATCATTCCCGCCACTACTGCGAATGATATAGCCTTCCTGAAGCTTAGCCACGTAGTAGAAGCGACTGTTCGACGCGTGGAACAGGGCAATGCCACATGGTAGATAGGTGCCCATGATCCAGTACTCGGCATCTCCCGGCATGATGGTACCAACCATGGTTCCGAATTGCACTGAAGCCCAGTAGACATGAAGCATAACAACGGCGGACAGCGACAGCCCGAGGCCCCGCAGCAGGAGGGGAGGCGTGTTGCGATGGGCGATGAGATAGGCCACGCCAGACGCAACAATAACCGTCCAGGTGCCCGCCCAGCAGGTCCACCATATACTGACCGGAGTATAGGCTGGCTGGGGCGTGGATGCGGCAGTGACCCCCACTTCGGACCCCATGATTCTGCTGTCGTGGGGAGGGAAAAGGATGCAAAAGATATCAATGCAATGGTAGGCAAATCTAACGAGGGAATGGCTAATATTGGCCGAGACCGTCGCTCAATGTCATCGGGCCTGCTTCTGTAGGGGGGGAGAGGCGTCAGTGACATTGGCACTGGGCTAGCCAGTCTTTTCAACTGCTCGAGATTTCGGCGTTACATCTCTTACGGACAGGACGGCCCTCCAGCCTACAGCGGGGCCGGCGCCCAACTCACATGCGGCCCCATTTTCTCTATGTTAGTGCTTTGAACTACCATGCTACAGTAGCAGCGGCCCACAGAGCGGCAGCTTTGTGCTTTCAACAATGGTTCTTGGCGACCTCCATCGCAGTGTGTTCGCATGGTAGGTTCCACCCGTTCTCGCAACCGGCCGGTCCTGACGGTTGTTTCCTACCGCCAGATGCTGCTGATTGTCCGCCGTCGGTTCTCCACGGTCAGTTGTCCAGCAATGAAAGTTCACGTCCACTCTCATCGAGCATCTCATATTCCTCTGCTAGCCAAGCAGGATTGCCACTGGTATGGATCCACCAGGGCACCGACAGATTCTCATGCGACTGGCCAGGGAGATCATCCGGCAACGTTACATACATTTAGGACAAAATTTCCGCTCCTTGTTCTCCTTTCCCCCTCTTGCAAAGTGTGGTGCGCTTGTCCAAGTTGCAACGCCCGGGGGCTGTTCAGCGATAGACAATCGTACAGCAGCAACACGAAAGCTTTCTGGTGAGTCGGGAGCAAAGCATAAGGGGGAGACTACTGAATATTCGAATAGATTTCCCAGCCCTCAATTGAAATCCCTCGCAATGTCCGATTCAAATATTGCCGAATTTTCTTGCTCCTAAGCAATGTAGATCTCAGTATTGTTACCTATGGCAATCCCCTATTTTCTGCATCTCCTCTCTCGCTAACGTGAATGACCCTTATTATGGTTCAAAGAAATCAAAGCATATGCAATGAAGAGCAGCATCGAATTCTGGACTACAAAAACACAAGTCTGTACTTTCTACAACATAGTACCTTAATGATCCTGCGTTATTGATCTTCCCACATTCACCGCTTCTTGTTTGCTTTCACGCTCGTAAGCATCGCTTTCCGTAGGGCAATGTCACTTCCGGTCAACGCAGCGGCCTCAACAGCAGTAGCTAATACATCAAGTCCTCCGGGGCTGCTGGAAACCATAGAGAGAGCAGATTTTGCAGGTTTGGAACATATCGTCGGAAGCGCCTGGTATTCCAGCTCCATCACAATCCCGACATAAGCGATGGAAACATAGAGCAAGGACCATATCTGGTGCCTTTGTTCCACACCGGTCACATTTGGCTGCCTCTATATTTTCCATCGGCTCTCTCAGGGGTATATTCCGCTCACTCTCGACCAATTGTCTAGCTCGGGCCAGGGCGTTGGATTGAAGTCGACATAGCTGTCGTAAGTTGTAGAGTTCTTGAAGTGTCTGCGGCAGAACCCACATCGACCCTGCATGGTTCTGTGACCACAATGCCTGCTCGAGCCTCTGAGATTCATGTTGCGCCTTCTCAAGGGCTCGGTAAAATCGTGCTCTGGTCACACACGAACGAGGGTAAGTTTTCATTCTTCTGGACGGTGACCTCGAACCTGCAGCTAAGTATGTCAGTTCCCCCAGATCATCGTTGTGTGAGGGGATAAACCTTTCATCTCAGCCGGAGGCACAACGCCCGTTATCGTATTCTTCTGCATCAGTAGGTGCAGGATGTGGGTTGGAGTGGTAGAGCTAGATATGTTTGAAAAGACTGGGGAAGGAAAAATGAAAATGGTCGAGGTACAGCTTAGCAATCGTGGGAGTACATACTTCCACCCAATAAATATTCAGTTGAAGCCTTTGAGACGGTAGCACCACCATGGGCTAGATATTTGGACTTGCAACCGTCCTGGCAATCTTGCGGATTACGGACCGTTGATGTGAACCGTGCGGATGTCGGGAAGTACTGCTTCGGGCTAACCCCGTTCGTTATTTGAATCGTTGACGAGAGGATCTCACTGACTAACGTTTCTGGGCCGTAAGGTAAGGAAACCCGCTTCCTACAAGTGGCATCCCTTCAATGGGGCCATCTCCGTGGTCGCCGTGCCCTTCCTCCCTTTCTTTATCTCATGTGACGCTAAAGTAAATAGACGGAAAGTCTATTCCTCCGTCGGCCTTGGTTCCTGCAGCCAGACGTATAGTAGGTAAGAATGGATTTTCGGAATCCTACAGTCTCGGCTTATTCCATGAATGGTTAAGGCCGGATGGTACTCTACGGGTTACGGTATCCAACTGTTCATCCGGAGTGGCAAAGTCCACACTTGAGGCGCGGCTAGACCTCCGAAGGTTACCATTACTCCTGAGAACAGTGTCAGAACAGCAAGAGGCTCTGGCTGGCCCCCCCTAGATCTCTGGCCGGTCACAGTCACAGTCGATCGACCTCCCTCCTACTCTCCGTCGCCCACGGCAGTTGACCATGCCGAGCGGCGAACATTACCCAATCTCACCCGATTAATATAAAGATACCCCATCACTCATGGAGGGTCTTTTCCATTCCAGATTGACACAGTCGAATGGAGAGCGATGATATGATGCCAAGTGCTGGCCAGCGTCCTACAGACCCGGACATCCTTGTCGTGGAGGCGTGGGGACAAGGATTCCTGGTGGGCTCCCTTATTGTCATGATTGCCATCACCGCGGCCAACATGAAAAAAGGGGTGCTCCTGCACAAACTCATCGTGGCAGAGGTAAGTTGTGCTGCCTCGTTACGGCGAATGGGGCACTATCCCCTGCTGATGTGGACGCTTAGCTCGCCCTGGCCCTCGCGCACGGAACGTTCATCTTTCTCCATGCGCCTGCCCGGGGCTGGTATCTTTCGGTTACGGCCGTCGGTCTCGCAATTTCGCATTCCCTCCACAACGTGATTGCATGGATGAAGATTCGCGGCTTCTTCACCCCTTGGGGTACGCGACTGTATCTAGTCACCCTGCTAGCGGCCCAGCCGTACTGGGTCGTCGAGATCTATGCGAATTTTGCCTTTTCCAATCGGGGCCAGGCCTTGTACACCACCACTCGGCCACTCGAGCCGCTGTTCCGGTGC